TTAAGCATACGCATAAAATTGTCAATTGAAACAAAGTGCTGTGCTTTCCCTCTCATCCAATCTCTCTCTTTCTGATCAGGTTTATCTGAACTAAGTTTTGACCCGAGGTCCGAAATTCGAAAGAGCGCCTTGCAAGTACTCTTTGATACTCTACGCAACCACGGCCAGCATTTTTCCTTAGCCTTGTGGGAAAAAGTGTTTGAGTCCGTCCTGTTCAGAATCTTTGACGATGCCCGGCGTGCTATCGACCCATCCGGTGACAACACGCCAGGTCGCATCCCTAATGGTGACATGGAAGATCTCGATCAAGATTCATGGCTTTACGAAACATGCACTTTGGCTCTACAACTTGTGGTTGACCTATTCGTTAATTTCTATGATACGGTCAACCCCCTTCTGAAGAAGGTGCTGATGCTGTTAGTCAGTTTCATAAAACGTCCACATCAGAGCCTTGCCGGTATTGGTATTGCGGCTTTTGTCCGCCTGATGAGCAATGCTGGGGAGATGTTCTCTGAGGACAAGTGGTCTGACGTGGTCTCGTCTCTCAAGGAAGCAGCCAAGGAGACACTTCCCGATTTTTCCTTTGTTCTTGACGAGAACAGCGGAATGTGGGCCCACGAGGACTCGAATGGAGATGGTAACGAAGAATCGACTGAGGCAATCACTGGCGATGAGGATTCTGAAAGTAGGTTGAGGAGACAGCAGCTGTATGCTGCTATCTCCGATGTCAAGTGCCGAGCTGCCGTTCAGCTGTTGTTAATACAGGTGAATAAAAGGGCAAAATTGAATTTTTAGTCCTGCTGGTTAAACGCCATAGCAATTTTAGTCCCAAGGTTCCAACATTTCGCATTTTGGTCATGTGTTTATATTTTGCTGCAATTTAAAGGACTGAAGTTGCAACAAATTCCCAGAGTTACGATTAGCAATTTAAGTATTGTAATTTAAAATTTTGTTGCAATTTCAGTCATGTAATTTAAATTTTTGTTGCAAATTCAGTCATCAAATGACTAAAATTGCAGCGAAATATTAAATCACAAGACCAAAACGCAAAAAGTTGGAATCTGGAGACTAAAATTGCTATGACGTTAAATCAACAGGACTAAAAATGCATTTTGGCCGAAAAAACATTCTTTTTTTTTTCCCTTAAAATGAAAACCACCATCCAGGATATGGAGAACTAAATTTACTCAGAGGGTTTTGAGTTGGGACAATCACAAAAGGGACTAACTGAAAATCACACACACACACACACACACATACACTGCTCTGGAAATCTGATTATGTTACAAACTGTTAGCTTACATGATGGGATTTTCCGATTGTCTAATATTTTATAATAAGGGTAGTTTCCGTAAAGTTTTCCACAATGCAATTCGTCGAATAGTAGCATCTGACCTTAATAATCTTTACCTCCAATGCATGAATTTTGTTCACAGGCCATAATGGAGATCTACAGCATGTACCGACCCCACCTCTCGGTTCAAAACACCCTCATCTTATTCGAGGGCGTGCATGACGTGGCATCCCACGCCCACAAGACTAACAGCAACACAACCCTACGCCTCAAGCTCCAAGAACTCGGGCCCATGACCCAGATGCAGGACCCACCCGTTTTACGTCTCGAAAACGAGTCTTACCAGATTTGCCTCACCTTCCTACAGAACCTCATTCTCGACCAGCCTCCTAATCATCACGACGAATCACAGGTCGAGTCGTATCTCGTTGACCTGTGCTTGGAGGTCCTTCAGTTCTACATCGAGGCCGCGTCCTCGCCTGACTCGTCAGACGGGCGGGCCAGGGCCCACTGGAATGTACCTCTGGGGTCCGCCAGGAGGAGGGAGCTGGCTTCGCGGGCCCCACTCGTTATCTCGACCCTGCAGGCTATATCCAGCTTAGGCGAAACTTGGTTCGAGAGGAGCTTGCCCGGGTTTTTCCCGCTGCTTGCTAGTTTGATTAGCTGTGAACACGGATCTGCCGAGGTCCAGCTGGCGTTGAGCGACATGCTGAGCTCGACGGTAGGGCCCGTTTTGCTGCGGGCATGTTGATACGCAGCCACGTTCAGGGCTCGGGGATGTATGATGATAAATTTTTATCGAGATTTTTTTTTTTTAATCTTTGTTTTTACAATAATTGCTTTTGAAATATAGGGTTTGTGGTGTATGGGAAGTTAATCAGGAGGTGAAAAAGTGTTTTGTATGTGTAGTTTTTGTGCAAGATTATATCTGTTCAGTATTTTGTACTCTGGTGGTGCTAAATTTTTCAATTCGGTTATATTTTTTAGTACAATGTTTGTAGCAATACATTAGTTTCTCTGCTATTTGATTTTGTTCATTGTCATAGTCGCGATTTCTGGTCTGGAACTTCTAATTGTTGATAATTCTATGCCTGGAACTTTGAGATTGAGTCGATTATAACGATTTGATGAGTCGACATTGGAAAAGTATGACCGAACTAAGTTTGACTAACAGCAGTGGTTAACACAAATACCCACTCCATGTTAGGTGTATGATGATTTAATATTGCCAAATATGTTTTAATTGATCATTAAGTAGACCATGACTGCATCAACAATTTGTTTAATAATTGTAATACAATATTTTTTATTTGTAATGTTGTTAATCATGTTCATCGCAATCATTTTGCCCTCCCCCCTTTTTTTATTTGTAATGTTGTATAATGGTTATTCTTACTTTTATTATTATAGTATCATTTGTCGTGTCCTTCGCTCTGGTTACTTTTACAAGACATAAAGAGTTCTTCAAGTTGTCAACTTTAAGAATGTTATAATGAAAAAAAAAAAAAGCTTTTAAAAGGTTTGTGCTAGCTAGTAGCTAGTACAGATCAAGCTTCATATGTGTCCATAACAACTATGTTGGAAAAGTATTATAAGTAAAAAAATATACAAAGTAAAATAGCTGCACAAGATTAATTTATTAGTCTTAGACCCCTGCTTTTGTGTAAGAAATTTATAAATTGTTGTTTCTAACACATAAAAAAATCATACAGGTGGGAGTCTTGTTTGATTTAATTAGTTTAGACGCTTACCTCATTTATTTGACATAAACTATGGGTAGTTTATATATTTATTTATAAAAAAATAATAAGTGGACAAAAAACAAAAAAAAAGGGGGGGAGTGGACCAAAATAGAAAGCACGTATTTAGTGAATACGTTTTCTGTGTAATTTAATTAAAAAACGTATTCCTTAAATACGTTTTTTACATTTTTTTTACAAAGGAAACCGTATTCACGGAATACGTTTTACAAATAAAAAATTTAAAAACCGTATTCACTAAATACGGCCTTTCTATTATTATCCACCCCTTACTTATTTGTTTCTTTTTTGTCCACCACTTTTCTCTATCTTTTTTTTCCGTAAAAGAATCCATAAACTATGTCAAGACATGTTAGGGTAAAAA